GCTGCTTGGGAATTGGAGTAGAAAGGTTGAAGTAGCGCATTGCATCTTGGCAGTGTACGTCACTGACCACTCGGCCAGTGCTCCTTCCAGATGTATAGATGCTCTATTTGGTGATGTAAAAAAGTTAACACTTGATAAAAATTTTACCGTAGACATCGCGCTGCATTATTAAGGTTACTGCTTTTCGCTACCTCTGTCATGGTCAATCTTTTCGACCAGATGCAGATTGTTGCAAAGCAAAAAACCAATCGAAATATTTCTAGTCTCGTTTTTGCTAATTTTGTCATTTTATTGTTTAGATCAGTAAGCACTGCTAATAACTTCACAAACATGTCATTCTGCTTCGCTGTGTAATTGAAAAAAAAACTGAAGGAAATTGTTCAGTGTTTTGAATTGTTGAAGATTATTATGCCTTGTTTTTCGTAGAAGTTTGACCAGATGGCCATAAGTGTGATAGCTGTTGACCAGGTATGGAATTTTGGCAAAATCCAAGCAGATGTAATCGTGATTACTTGAAATGGCATTGTGAGCTGAGCAAAAATAATTGGCATCCAAGCCTTTACGCTCATCTCAAGGACAGTTACTCTCGTGCTAGATCGTTACTCTCCAGTTCTTTGCATTGAATTTGATATTTCAACTATTACTTACCCCGAATTTCAGTCTGATGCATTGGTGACGCAGTATTGGATTGCTTCATTACCATTACAGAAACTTTACGAATTAGGAGGAGCATATGATGTACCTTGAATGTTAATAAGTTGGGGAAAAAGTTCTGAGGAAATGCTTGTAACTTTTTGAGTGTCGGCCATTTTTTGTGTTTTTGGGCTCAATTCTAGATTGTTGATGATGCACGAATGGCTGCTGGGTTCAAATGCAACGGTGGCAAGTGAACGCATCAATCTGGCTTTGGGCGAAGACACAGTTGGCACACTCCATCTCAAGGATACGTAGATAAACTATATACCAATCAACGCCCCAACCTATTATCTACAGCACCTCTTCGTAGTTTGTCACTAGATTCTAAATAGTGACTACCAAGGTCGACACCAAAGTATCAGTCAATGACTGATCGTTCAAAGTACAACGAGTGTGTTCTATCTCTAGTCTCACTGAGGATCCCTTCCAACAAAAAACACTCAAACCTTTTGGCGAAAGCTGCAGCGTAACAAATATGACGCCTAGTACTATGGCTCATTTTGCAGAAATATGATAGACTTTCCAAAATTATTATATTTGACCGCTATTGCGGTGTTATGATGTTTCTATACACTCAATGATGTAGAGTGGTGTGCAAAAAACGTTTGCGTCAGCCGGGATTTGAACCCAGATCTTACTCTTTCTGGGAGCATGTGCTGAACCGTTGCATCACCGACAACTCGTTTTGCACTTCCACTCTTTCTACGCTATAACGCAGTTATCTGTCAACAGAGCCAACCGTTTTAGCGGTGTGGCAGGGCAGTCATCATGGACATTAAACCCACTTTTTTGACACAATAGGCGGTCAGATAAAAATGATTTCGGATTGATTATTGAACCCAATATCTGTCAACAAAAGTGGGTTTAATGTCGATAATGACTGCCCCGCCACACCTAGACGGTTGGCTGTTGACAGATAACGCGTTATAGCGTAGAAAGAGTGAGTGCAAAACGAGCGTCGGTGATGCAACGGTTTAGCACATGCTCTCAGAAAGAGTAAGATCTGGGTTCAAATTCCGGCTGACGCAAACGTTTTTGCACACCACTCAACAACATTGGGTTTATATTATAGACTTTGTTACACATTTGAGTGAATGCTATGGTGCACCACTGGTGTTGAAATACTTCACGGTTTTATGCACGAAGTATAGGCTTTCTAAATCTAAATAAACTTCTTGAATGTTTCTTGTCATGACACTACTTAATTGAAGGCAAGGTTTACAAAATTGCGTCACCGTTTGCGAGATAGAATAAATACTTTTGGGGTTCTTTTTCGTTAGGTAGTCAGAAAAGCCAAGCCTAGTACTTGCGTGACAAGAAACCCTTTGCAAAAGTGTCAGTAATCAATAGAAAGCTTCACTGTTTGGTTAGTGCGGGTACGTGGTCAGTTTTCGGAAAAAAAACCTTGTTTTTTACGTTGTTACAGAAGAAAAAGCTTTGTGTTTCACACAAGCATTTTCCTCGCAGGACACAGCTTTTTCTTTAGATTATTAGCAATTATCTGATAGGGTAGGATTCAAGGTTCCAACGCTGCACTTAATTTCTGTAAAAACTGTTTCTATGCAGTGTAGTAGAGAAGACAGATTGGTTCACATGAGCGATCAGGTGTTCTTTGGCCAATTCACGGACCCCAGGTGGGTCGGCAAGAAAGATTGGCGCGATCAGCGATCGATTTTCGCATATGAAAGCGTGTATTTTGTTATTTGATTAACAATTATTTTTCCGCTTTAGGTGGAACTCCAGACCAAACGTGTGACTCTGATATTAAAGGATTTTCTCTGTAGGTTCATATGCTCTACCTTCTTCCAGTGCAAAAATAGTCGAACTGCGCTGTCGATGTAGAGCATTATTTTATTTCAAGTTCAACGACGTTACATAAGGGTCTTTTCAAAACCCAGGACACGTACGGTGCTGTTCAGAGTACCAAACACTTTGTAAAAAGTTCTTGTTCAGCGAAAGGGATCGGTTCTTAATTTCGTGCGTCTAACGGAAAAGAACATCGCCAAGATTCAAGCTATCGAAGGCTACCAAAAGTTTAGAGGATAGCGTTTTTCAGCGAGATCTTTTTTGATGAAAAACAAAACTTTATTTTGCTATTACAAGGCAACAGTGAAGCCACTTTGAAAATAAAATACACTTCTGAAAATTTGCAGATCTGAGCTGTTAGGTAATGTTAGAACTCGTAAAAAATCAAAAGGCGCATGTTTCTTAAAGGATCGAATAAAGATGCGAATAACGGAAATCATTCAGTTTTGCAAAGCTTAATGTTCTTTTCGTTGTTACAGCGGAACAGAAAGTATTTATATGTTTGAGCTATAGAATGCTAACCAAAATACTGAAAGAAAAGCTTTGTTCAGCGAAAACTGTTTGAACGAGAAATATAATTTATTTTTCTTGTTACATCGCATAAATTAAGCTATTTTAAAAATAAAGTGTATTGTTCAATTTCTTCTGATTTAAGCTATCGAATGATTGTTGAACTTAAAAAAAATAAAATACGCTCTTCCCGAGGGGTTAAAAGTGTTATTGTCTGAGAATACGATTTTTAACACAAGTATTTTGTGCCAGCTTGAGCTTATTAGAAAGCTTGTTTTCTTGTGCATCTAATTACGTATCATACCTTTCTTTTTGAGTGTGTTACCACAGCTCAAATTTCAATACGCGAGAAAATTATTTTTGAGCCACGCATGTCATGTTGTCTGTTAAACAAGGGTTGATTTATAGATCCCGATACACGGGTTTCAAGCTTGCAGTCTCGTCAGTCGGGCAGTTACCCTTACTCGTCTTTTGCCAATCCTGCGTGGGTGCCTAAGATTTAGCGACGACAAACGCTTTACACTCTATGTCCATGAAATTATCACAGAACACAGAGTGTTGTACACTCGATTGCTCTTTGCTAAGATAATATCATATCTTTTTTGATAATATATATTCAATAAAATATCATTATTTATATTTAGAATAAATTTAAAATTAAAATATCTATGTTATATAATATATAAATATAATATCAAATATATATATATAAAAGTATCATATCTTCTGTTTCGAGTGTTTTCCTAATATCACAGCTCAAATTTCAATATGCCAGAAGATTATTTTTGAGCCACGCATGCCGTGTGGTCTGTTAAGTCGTGTGGTTATAGTGCCCGATACACGAGTAGTGTTTTGATCCCTGCGGTCTCGTCAGTCGGGCAATTATCCTTTCGTCTTTTGCCAATCCTTAAGCGGAAGATTATGATAGAATATGCCAGCAAGAGCAATCGAGTGTGCAACACTCTGTGTTCGGTGACAATTTCACCTAAGGCAGAGTGCACAAATGTTTCGTCGTCGCTAAGTTTTAGTGTGAGGGGACTGGTGCAAGGTCGGAAACACGTGTATCGGGCTGTATAAGTTAGCCCATTTTAGCAGACCACATGACATGCGTGGCTCAGAAACAATTTTCTGGCATAATGACGTATCATTTATCTACTCAGCCTCCAGAATAGAACTGTCCAAAAAAAGAATTTTGTGTGTTGCCTCAATTCCACTGTTAACTGGGTGTCAACAATCCTGATTTCTAGTGCAAGTGGAGCAGCAGACGAATTTTTCTCACATGACAATTTCATTCTAAAAGGTTGTGTTGATAGAATGATGCATCATTCGACGCGTAAAAAAAGCGAGCTTTTTGATGAACTTAGGGTTGCATAAAATGCTTCTCTGAGAGTTATTCTCATGCAGTGCAACAGAAACTTTCTTGCAACCTATTATATACGGGGTGCGGAAAAAGTTCCGCCCAATTTTTTTCACATATTTTCAACAGTTGAAACTACTGCCATAAGCAAATGAATTTCATTCAGTCTTAATTCTTTCTATTTTGACTGACACTTGCAGTGGTATGATCTTATAGTATACTCAATATGTGGAGTACTGTGCAAAAACGTCTTGCGTCAGCCGGGATTCGAACCCAGACCTCATTCTTTTCCGGGAACGTATGCTAGCCATTGCACTACCGACGCTAGCTCTGCACAGCACTTATTTACGTTACAACGCGTTGTCTGCCAACAGCCAACCGTCGACGGTCTGGCGGGACACCCGCTATCGGCATTGAACCCACTTGTGTTGACAGACATTGGATATCGATAATCAGTCTAAAAGTCTATTAGACTGATTATAGACTGTATAGATTTTAGACTGATTATCGATATCCAATGTCTGTCAACACAAGTGGGTTCAATGCCGATAGCGGGTGTCCCGCCAGACCGTCGACGGTTGGCTGTTGGCAGACAACGCGTTGTAGCGTAAATAAGTGCTGTGCAAAGCGAGCGTCGGTAGTGCAATGGTTAGCATACGCTCTCGGAAAGAGTGAGATCTGGGTTCGAGTCCAGGCTGACGCGCGAAAGTTTTGTTTGCACAGTACATATTGGGAATTTCATTCAGCTGCAGGAAAACCTTTATTAGATTAAGAATTGTAAACATACGCAAAAAAGTTCATAACACATCCTTGTAATCGATCTTATTAGCCTCTATATACGTTTGAGAAGTTGCTTGCAAAAATTTCCAACGATGCTCGTACATGTTTCTACCGTAACTTCGTCATTGATTGACAGGTTTTTTTTGGCCCCCTGTATATACATGCAGGGTGCAGAAGAAGTTTTTGATAATTTTCGTATCTTATTTTGCTAATTTTAGCACGGATTTAATAATTTTGACCAACACTGATTATAAAATTTGTTGTTCCAATTTGGTTCGGACTTGTTTTAGTCAGTTGCTGATTTTCAGGTGTGCTCATGTTATGGCTCGTAAAAATCAACATATCGCAACAGCCGAGTTGCACAAGACAGAAATGAAAACGGCCAACACTACTAAAATCGATTGGTTCCAAACCAACAAGTGTTCACAGAGTCGTGATACGTTTGAAAAAAAAGTGGTGGGATTGGGGACCGCCCTTGAAAAGGTTGTTCAACCACCTCATCTACTCCGGAAAACATTTAGAAGGTCCGTTGAAAAGGTTTCTGCAAAATCTAGAGCTTTCGACAAGCAAAATGACCCGGAAAGTTCGGGATCAGCGAGTGGAACGTCTAAAGCACTGCCAAAAATAAACTGAAGCTATGGAGCTACAAAATCGCTCGTGACTCACTTTTCTGGACGAAAATATGAAGGAAAAACTTATTTCATCAAATAATTCGCATACTTAGTGCTCGCTTGTCGAGGGTGCTTTTTACGTATGAGAAGATATGCACGGTTGAACCAATACACAATCGCCAGAAATGGTGACAACTATTCAAGAAGGGATCCGTAGTAGCAAAAACCATGCCATAGTGATTTTCCGGGTTCCGTTAGCATTTGCACCACCAAGAAGACGTCCGCTGCTTTTCATCAACGGAAATGTCAAAATACACGCTGCCAGCCATCAGCAGCAAGCTTATAAACGGGCGTGACTGGAGCCTTAGAATACTCAACACTTCGATGCCGACAGATGTTCGGCTCCAGCAGTACTGGGCTCGTTTGCATCCGGCCCGCTCAACGATGGCCATCTATCAGATTAGTTATCAGAAACCGTTTAGGCCGGATCTCAACCCAGTGGGATTATTCGCACATGTTTCCACCGTAATTTCGTCACAATTATGAGATTTATTCAAATTTTATGCATCGTAATAAAATCTGACAGCAATTATATCTACTAAAAACATTGGAAATTTGAAGAAGAACATGGAGAACTATAAGGCAACAGCAGCGCATTTCCGAACCACATAGAAAAGCCAAGACTGAAAACCCTGATCAGCAAAAAAAAAGGCAAAGTTAACTGAATAAGGGCGGTAGTGGCCAATGTGACGTCCTTAGGTCTTCTCTGCGCCGCGAAATTTAGGCGTCACTAACTATGCCAGAAAGTTGAAATTAGGCATTGCAGCGAAAGTTGTTTTAGTAGTTCTCCCAAAATTCTCCAAACCATTCATAGCAGCAAACTGTTGGAAAGCAATAAAATAAAGATTTCAAATAGGAGAACGTAGAGTTCACGCTGGAGAAACCGAGCAACGACAGACTTACTTTACATACATTAAGATCAGCTAATTTAATGAAAAATCACATCAAATGCTACCGAAATTCCACTAATTGATTCATACTAGTTTGTTACCTCTCCTTTCAGTCCTCAATCACTATACGTACGCATAGTGGGTAATATCTCTCAGACAGCCACCGTTGTGCGGAAAGGAAATCGCAAAAGGACGAATTTCCAGGCATAAAACAAAAATTTAACCATCCGTAACAGCTGACGATACAGCGGCAGTTTGTGAAATAGATTTACAAAGAAAACGACTCTCCTAGTAAAAGTGTAGTCCCGTTTATCTTCTTACTTATTGAAAAAATGAACACAGCCACAAGAGCTGCTTAGAAATTGCCACCTCAGTTGAGTCGGTAGCAGTGATTGATATGCCGCCAATATATTGGACACCACCTGTTACGTAAATATACTTGTGTCCTTCTATGCTAGACGCTAAATTGCGTAATCTGCTCAAACATTGGAGACAAAGACTGCATAAGTCTAAGTAAGATATACTTGATTCTCGTAAGGAATGCGAGGGGCGGAACGCTTCAACCACGCTAAGCCAGTGCCCAAAAAGTATCAAGTGGAAGCCTGAAGTAAAGCCAAACCGAAAAAGATTTTGGAGTGAAAGTCGTATTCTCGCTTATAAACAAATTCGCCATAACAAGGAACCTTTGAATGATTTTGAGTGGATTTTTGGAAAAATCGTAATGAATAGAAAGTATAAGTGTCTTGCAATCACGCGTGTCCATGGCGATATACATTAAGCAGAATATTTTAGGCCTTAGCTAAGTGCAATGATGAATCATGCGACACACTGTGAGACTGGTTTCCAGTAGTACGAACGCTGGGAAGAACATTAAGATAAGTGTTATGTTAACGACTTGCTACTTTGCGCTCCAAATTCGCTGTCTTTGGGTTTTCGGAGTTTAGAAAATTTTGACTGAGTGGATGGATATCAATAGGACTCGTTCAGACTTCGAAGACGAAACCTCCAAAACGTCGTTTTTAGTTATTGAATTGTATGCACTCCATGAATTTTCAGTTCATCAGCCTTATTTCTACTTGTCAAGAAACACGGATTTATTTGCTCGATGTTTGAAGCTATTCAATAATTTACCCTGGAATGGCAAGCATTCCTTTTTAGAAAACACTAACCGTGGATGTTATTGACATGAAACCTTTAGCTGAGATTTGAAACCATAAATAACTTCGCTCGTCGTGAGGCCGTGCAGATTTGACCGTGAGTACTTATTTCGACTGAGCACTCCATAAGTGCATTGATAGTTCTTGGTTCTAGTTCAACGAGAGTATCGCTGTAGTCAATGTTTTATGCCTTGACTTTCTTTCTGCTGTCGCCGTTTCAGTAGACCATGTCTATATTTTTCATAAGCAGATCTTGTTCTATGTTGGACTGCTCTTTTCTCATTTCAACGCTCTTTCAATCTCAAAAGTGAATATTTGCTTCGCTGTCGACCAGATCCACTGCTGTCACGGAAAAATTGAGCTGAATAATTGAATGTTCAATGCAAGATGGAGCTCCTTAATTGCTGTCCAGTAACTGGATGAGGTTGTTGTTCTGTGTGAAACTACGTCTCCTCAAACGTAGGTACTTTACCTGTTCATGAAATCATCAAAACATTCCCGAAAATAAGGAGAGGTGGACGAATGTTTTTTGGTGCTCAGCCTGTAGTCGATTTCCGAATCTCTTCGAAAATCAACGAAAGCTCCATCCTGGCTATCTTTGAGACTGCAAGGAGATTCGTACGATCAGAATCCTGACAAAAAGATGAGAATTTGAATGGTAAGTACTGAGATTCAACAAGAGAATGTGAACGAATGTGAATGAAGAAGTAGAAAATGAAATTATGGTGATAGTAGCCAAAAAATAAAACCTACATTCAAAACAGAAGCACTGCAACTACTGTTGGATAAAGCTGACTTGATGGACGACAAATCTGCAAATAGTGAAATATTTTTTGCTGACAATCAAGTGACATGATATTGGAAATAACATCAAATGCAGCTGATAGCGAAAAATGCTATACCTGGAGTGATGAAACGCTTCGCGAGGGCAACCTAAGGTTGTCCTAGGTTGAAAAAGGTACACTTTCACCCACAAAAGAAGTAGAATCACACATAGTTGTGATTGATAATCAAAACAATTTGGAACGATAAATTCTGACAAAACGAGAATCTCATGCAACGCATACATCAACCACTGTCAAAAGAGTCATGAGCCATCAACTATGTGAACATTATACTGTGGCGAGATCTAAAGTTCTATGAGATCGTTCTAAATTCATTTTCTTTAGTACTGACGATTACCAGGCAGTAGCTTACAAGTAACGTTTCATAAGTTGTTTATTGAAGTGGACCTCGACAGAACAATCATTATGAATGAATCTGAATACGATTTGACAGCGCTGTAACCAAAAATGCGTGACTTTGCGAACAGTCACGATTTAGAGTTGGGACAACTGCCACTATAACTGCTTTCTCTATCGCCTTCAACCTCTAACGTACATAGAATCATTACATATCTAAGAAATATAACACTTTCGTCCAGTTTTCCCAATAATGAAATGCAGATACAAATATGAATGCTACAGACAAAATCAATTACACGCATTCCACCTTTAACAGGGACATAGAGATTCTTTGCTATAACCGCAGGTTACACCAGCAGTGAAACCCAAAGGTCCAAACAAACTGTTGGTTTCTCCAGGGCGTCACTTAACAGAAGCTCAGTTAGTTCTAATGCGGGTGTCCCCTGTATTGGATATTATACTAAACTCTTTATATGTACTTTTGGGGGTGTTTAACAGCTGTCTATCAAATTGGGAGCGTAAGGTGTAGCCTGTGGCTAAGTACACGCACCTACGCAAGGATCTATACATACGTGCATTCTTGTACAGAGAGCAACAAGGCGAGCAAATGCAGCCGGGGAATGTTCGCCCATCGGCTTGAAATCATCCGCGGGAAAAGTTCGCCATGTCATACACTACAAAACTTTTTTTAGACAGTATAGGACTATATACAAAGAAGATTCTATGATGCTGCACAAATTCTTCCACAAATAGGAAAAAATATACAACTGAGTGAACATTCTCACGAAATCGCAGCAAAGTTCGACGTAAAAATAAGAAAGGTGTTCAACTACTAGTGGTACGCAAGAATGTTTTATATTATTATCAAGTTTCTCAAACAAATCTATGACTAACACTGGTGAATAATCTTAAACCGGAAATTCCAACAATAGAGTTAATTTTTGAACCAACGAGATTTGAAGGGAAAGCTGTTTATCAAGACATAGAAAGTTCATTCAAATATTATGAGTAGACTTCAAAT